GATGCCTCCAAGAAGTCTTGAACTCGTGTTTTTGGCAGAACATGTCTTGGTGATGACCAGCTGGTGTTCTGCACATTTGGTGAGCGGGAGAATCCCACTGGAATTGCAGTTCCTGACTCTTTCCTTTCCAATGGTTCCTTTTCAGAGTCAGGAGTCTTTTCTAACCCTGGCATTGAGGTTTCCAAGGAGGATAATTTTATCTTCCTTTGGGATGTTGGTAAGTGTGGCATCCAGGGAGGAGTAGAAGTTTTCTTTGGGCTCACCTGTGGCATCCAGGCTTGGGCAGAGACACTCACGACTGTTGCCTGCTGGTCAGGAGAGTTATGAGGTGATTGTTGGTGTCAACAGTGAGGTCTGAGAGTCAGTTTATGAGTTTGTTCTTGATAGTTTATCCTTGGGTTTTCCTCTCCAGGAGAAAGTGTAACCACCATGTTCTTCCCAGCAGCTGCCTATTCTTCGAGCATCCTGCAGGGCAGCAATATGTTGAAGTGCCTGAGCTCCTGCGCAACAAGGACCAGTTCTCTGTTCCAGATGACTGTTTTGCTCATTATTCCAGGTTCCAAGTTTGAGTTTGATTTTAATTTTCAGACTGCAGGTAGATAAGCCCACTCGATGTGGTTTTCTAGCTAGGTCTTTTCTAGCCCTTACCCCATGTGGGGTGAGCAGAGTGGATCCTGAAGGGGGTGGCTTTGTCATGAAGAAAGCTGTCAAAATGCTCTCCTGTTTCTACTCCAAGAGTGAAATGTCTGTGTCAAGCTCCACTGTCAAGTGTCAGTCCATAACTAGGGACTCCCAGATCTCTCAATCCTGTCCTTGTCACCTCTCACCCATTGCCGCCTGTACACTGGGTGTTGAATTCCTCTGGGTAGACACCTTGGGCCAGGCATCTTTTCCTGTGGGAATGCTGCTGCACCTCAGCAGAGACATGGTCCCTGACAGAAGGTGGACCGAGCTCCAGGGGCAAGGAAACCTCAATGACTGGAGATCTCCCTACTGCTGCAGCCTTCATCCACCGTTACAGTGGTTGATATCAGAGGAGGATCTTCGGCCTGGATTGTGCTTTGCCTGGTTCCTTCCTCCAACCTTACTGTCATGGGTGACCCTGCCAGGAGCTGAGAATTCCTGATGGCACCACTCTTGCGATCAATGAAACTCTACTTTCCGTGAGATGCCACCTTACTGTGGTGGAGAGTGCTGAGTTTGCCCACTAACGCACATGAGCCATGGTTGAAGCTCGCTTTAACCCTTGTCCTTGTGTATTGTTGAAAGAGAAAAACATGAAGATGGCTTTCACTCGGAATGTTGTGCTTTCTCCCTCCAGATTAAGAGTCTTGGCAGGGGGTTACAGTTCAGTTTGTGCCGCATTTTTCTCCCTCCTGAAGTTTCCTTGACATCTTCAGGTCCTTCTCCAGACTGCATGCACATCCACAGTCCTTTTGGCTTTAAAAACAAACAGAAAACAGACAATGAGGTGCAGAGCTGGATGAACACAGCAGGCCAAGCAGCATCATAGGAGCAGGAAGGCTGACGTTTCAGGCCTAGACCGTTCGTCAGCCTCTCTGCTCCTATGATGCTGCTTGGCCTGCTGTGTTCATCCAGCTCTGCACCTTGTTGTCTCAGATTCTCCAGCATCTGCAGTTCCTACTATCTCAGAAAACAGACAATTAAAAGTTCAATATGTCCATAGGTACTCCAAAACATTGATCTATTGTCTTGACAACAAGATGCATTACAGAAATTCACCAAAGATCCTCAGACAGCACCTTCCAAACCCATGACCACTTCAATCTAGAAGGACAAGGGCAGCAGATATATGGGAACAGCACCTCCTGCAAGTTCCGCTCCAGCCCACTCAACATCCTGACTTGGAAATACATCACTGTTCCTTCACTGTCGCTGGGTCAAAATTCTGGAATTCCCCTCATACCCTTTACTGGTCTCTGTCTCCTGAGCCATTATACAGTAACTCAATAAGACCTTCTGCCTCTTCTGTTGTCCCCAGTCTTTGTACACATTAGAATGGATGAAGTCTATTGTATTGACTTTCTAGGACTTGGAAAGTAAAATGGGTAGAATTAAGTGCTTATTTGCTTTTCTGAAAGTGAGAAATGTAATGATAGAGTAGGAATGCAGTAGACATCAGATACATGATATCAGTTCCAGATAATCCAGGAGAGAGTGATAACGATGAGAGAACAACAATTAAGATCAAAGGAAAGCCTTTTGATCCAGATTTAGTACAAGTTTGTGTCCCAACAGGAGATCACAGTGAGCAGGAAATAGAGGCGTATTATGGTGATACCCTGAAGTCTTATGATTAAGTAAAATAACAATGTAATAATTGTTTTGTGCAACCCTGCACTAAAATTGGTGAAGGAACATCACAAACACGTGTTGCTCAACATAACCTTGGATCCAGAAATAAAAGAGGAAAGAAATTGATATGATTTTTGTCAAGAAAATAATCTGATGGTGCCAAATGCTTTCTTTTAAGCAACCAAAAAGAAGATTGTACATACAGTTCAGGTGATTTGTATATATTTTAAAATAAATATATTTTGTGACAATGAAACAATGTTTTTGAAATATAGAGGTTTATAAGATCATGAGGGCCATGAATAGGGTGAATAGCCAAGGTCTTTTCCCTGGCGTGGAGGGAGTCCAAATGTAGACAGCATAGGTTTAATGTGAGAGAGGAAAGATATAAAAGGAACCTAAAGGGTAATTTTTTCACACAGAGGGTGGTGCGTGTAAGAAATGAGCTGTCAGAAGAAGTGGTGGAGGATGGTACAATTACAGCATTTAAAAGGCATCTGGATGGGTAGATGAATAGGAGCGATTTAGAGGGATTTGGGCCAAATGCTGGCAAGTAGGACTGGATTAGTTTAGGATATCTGGTTGGCACAGACGAGTTGGACCGAAGGGTCTGTTTCCATGCTGTACAGCTCTATGATTCTGTGACTCTGGTATTCATATCCCTCCGTAAGGACATTGTGGGTCAACCCACAGCACATGGACTGCAGCGATACAAGAAGGCAGCTCACAACCACCTTTTGAAGGAGCAACTAAGGATGGGCAATAAATGCCGGGCCCAACCAGGGACACCCATGTCCTGAGAATTAATTGAAGAAAGATATTTTCTTATTTGCATGATCTTACACTGATTAACATGTACATATACAGAACTATTCTATCTCCTCCCTCACTATATCTGCTATGATCCCTGTGGGTTTAAGTTATTTTTATGACGCAAAGCTGTTGCTTTTCTGTTGTCAAGTCACTGGAATAGCTTAGCTTGGGGCACAGCCAATTCTGGACCACATGCCTTCAATAACTATTATCAGGGCCCATAACGTTTGCAGTATCCAGTGCCTCCAATCATTTCTTGATATCAGAGAGAGTGAATTGAATTAGCAGAGGATTGGTATCTGTAATGCTGGGGACCATAGGAGGAGGTTGAGATGGATCATCCACTCTGACACAGTCAGTCGCCTGGTTACAGTCACACTTCCCTGGTTAAAGGCACACTTTGCGTGCTACACTTGCATTCACTGGATTACAATCAATCTCCTTGTGTTACTGACAAATTCCCTGCATCACAATCCCATTTTCTGTGTTAAAAATACACTGTCTGGGCTACAGTCACACTCAGTGGGATAGAGATATACTTCCCCTATGGGGTACAGTCGGACTCGTCATGTTACAATTTGGTTCCCGGGTCACGGACCAATTCTCTGGATGGTAGTCACACTTGTCATGTTACAGATACACTGGACCATGGTTCTGGAGTGGCTGTGTGTATTGGATCTGTCTGGCCTTGAATTATTGAGCAAAGGAGCCTTGAAGCTCATCACTGAGCTGGATGCTCTGTGTTGTTAGGAACGTGGAGCCCAGGGTTGCTTCCTATTCTGAGCAGCTGATTGGCAGGATCTTGTGGAGACATTGATTGTAGTTTCGGAGCTGGTCTCCAGTCAGGATCCAGCAGGGGATTTGTCAACATTTGGCTTGCACTGTGTTGATGTCACTAGGCTGGGTTGCAGAGTTTCCCAACAATCTCTGGGGATGTGAGTGTTTTCACATTCATGAAAGTCACATTCATTTTCCTCATTGTTTCTGGAGCTGCTGAAAAGTGAAGGAAGAATTTGTAACTGTCCATGCAGTGCAATGTGGGAGGGGGAGATCTCCCAATCACTGAGAGAGCAAGGACACCCAGCTCTCAATCACAAACTGCTAAAGGCACCATTGAATCAGGACTTGGTCTCAGCACAATCCCAGCGAACAGTGAGTTGTGTGTTGTTCTGTCTGTTACTGTACAAGCTCTCGGGTTCAGTCTATTACTGAGGCTATAGATAGACAGCTTCCTCTGTCAGCTCAGGAACAAGGATGTGGCACCGGCAAGAATAGTTCAACTCAGACAATGCCCTGACAAAAAGAAAGAACACACCTGGGAAAAGAGACTGTAACCTGGGGAAAGTGACTGTAACCTGGGAAAAGAGACTGTAACCTGGGGAAAGTGACTGTAACCCGGGGAAAGTGACTGTAACCTGGGGAAAGTGACTAAGCTAGGGCAGTGTGGGATGATGGGGAGTGTGCCTGGGCAGTCCGGGATGATGGGGAGTGTGCCTGGGCAGTGTGGGATGATGGGGAGTGTACCTGGGCAGTGTGGGATGATGGGGAGTGTGCCTGGGCAGTCTGGGATGATGGGGAGTGTACCTGGGCAGTGCGGGGTGATGGGGAGTGTACCTGGGCAGTCTGGGATGATGGGGAGTGTACCTGGGCAGTCCGGGATGATGGGGAGTGTACCTGGGCAGTGCGGGGTGATGGGGAGTGTACCTGGGCAGTGCGGGATGATGGGAAGAGAGTGCACCATGTCATACCATGCCTTGCCATGCCATGCCAGGGTGCAGTGTTACCAGAATGTTGTGGAACCTGGCACGAATGGCAGAGACTCAGTGATGAATTGTGTTGTGTGATATTTCTGCAGGTCCCTGCCCTCCACAATGACCGAGCAGATGCAGAAGCTGAATCTGTCCCCTCCCAGGAGAAACTACGGCCCACCATCTCCGAATGCTGCCAAGCGTCTGTATCGCAATCTCTCAGACCGCTTCAAACGGAGCCACTCATCCTTCGATGATCCATTGATGTGCCCAAAGATGGGGAAGGAGAGACTGAAGACGTTATCCTGGGTATGTAGATGTTGACTAGACAAGGGGCACATCCTGTGTTTTGTATGATGGTGAGCTTGGAAGTAGGAAGGGTTTTTAATTGAGCAGGATGGTTTTGTACCTAAACCTACCCCTTTTCCACCCCTGACAAATTAAGAACTGGGCAGGAAGGCTCATGATTGACCTTCATGCCCCAATACCAATTGGGGCTGCCAGGTAAGGAATATTTAAGGTCTCTAACGCATCACCACTGCGATTAACCCAGCAACAAGTGAGCCTTTCACCAGTGTGCATGACAGCTTCTAGTCTGTAGGCAGCTTGTTACCTCGTTGGGTTGGAAGGGGTGTGTGGTAGGGATGTGGAGGGTAGGTGGGGTTTGGAGTAGGAAGGGTGGGAGACTTTCTCAGTGAAAAGAAGTCAGTGCCTGCTCAAGCGGCTTGACTATTGAGTGTATGGGTGCCTTCTGGAGTTGGCTCCAGCCTTGCCTCCAACTTCACTGCTACTCTTCCTGGTGATCCCTAACCTGAGAGAACCCCTTTCTCCTCACCGCTTACCTTTGTTCTATGACCTCTGTGATTCTGGGACTCTGAGGTTGCTCATCTAACAGCAACCATGGCCTCTTCTGGGGTGCTGCTGAGTTCAGGAGCTGCCAACCTTTCTTTGGCCGGCAGTTCTCACTCGGCGGGATTTCCACCCTCACAGAGCTGATTCAAGGGGAAGTGCAGCCTGTGATCCTGCCACTGGCTGATTAGTATGTGGTTCATTGGGCTGTCCCTGGAAGAGGTAATGTTTGTCCTTCACTGGCTCACCATCTGGCTGACAAGCTGATGACACCTCAACGTTCCAACCAACATTTCAGCTTTGTGACCTTTCATTATGGAGAGTTTTCCTAAACAGCGTTCTACCCAAGGTTGGTTCTACCCAAGCGTTCCAGTTCAAACTCCTCCTCAATAACGGGAAAGTCAAACTTCACACAGTCATTCCAACACATTACAGCTACCGTTAATGAGGTCATCGATGCCCTCCCAGCATAAACAAGGTCAGGATTACAACAGAGAAAAGGTGTAAACATGGACAGAGGCACAATAAATCACAGTCCATCTTTATTTACTCCTCATATTCACACAGTCAGAACTCAGTTGACACCAGGTTATAGTCCAATGGTTTTATTTAAAATCACAAGCTTTTAGAGCGCTGCTCCTTTGTCAGGTGAAAGGAGCAGCGCTCTGAAATCTTGTGATTTAAAATAAACCTGTTGGACTATAACCTGGTGTCATGTGATTTCTGACTTTGCTCCCCCGAGTTCAACATTGGCACCACCACATTATATTCGCACAGAGAGATACAAAGAGAAGTCAGAGTAAGTGAGTGTAAGAGGGAGAGCGAGAGAGATAAGAGACAGAGAGATAGAGCCAGAAACAAGAGTGTAACGATTGTAATGAGGTCAACCAGGTAGACCTCATAGAATATGAGTTCCCTGATTGGGGAAGTTAACCCTGTCCAATCAGGGAGCCCTGGCTGACAGATAAAAAGGGTGAGTGTCAGATACTGACACACTAGGTGTTGACTCTGAATGAGGCAGTACTATAGTCAAGGACTCTTCATGTATAAATAAAGGGTGCCTTGGTGATGGGATACCAGTCTTGTGGTGTTATTTCAATGGCAACAAGACTAATGCATGAACTTGAAGAAACTGGTTCACAACAGTCATCTTTGAGTTGCTAAGCATTTCTTACATCATGCCTTTGTTTGGGAAGCTTAACTCATTTGACCATGCTGATGAGGACTAGGCCTAGTATGAGGAAAGAATGCGTTATTTTTTCCAAATGACATTGTGACCAATGAAAAACAACATGTAATTCTGCTGACAACCTGTGGAGCTGTAGCTTTTACTGTAATTAGAAGTCTAACTTTCCTGGAGGCACCAGATACTAAAACCTTTCAAGAATTAATAGATTTAGCTAAGCCTCCTCTAATTCAGAGACGCCTTTGCTTTTACTTGGCAATTTGAGAATAGGGAAATCCGTAACAGGATTTTTGACCAGGTTAAGATGACTGGCAGGGGCATGTGACTTTTGGTTTAACTCTTAATGAGGTGCTGAGAGACTGTTTCGTATGTGGGATTAATGATGTAACCATACAAATGCAACTACTAGCTGAAACCCAACTGGACTTCAAATAGGCACTACAATGGGCGCTGTCATTAGAAAATGTGGCAAGTGGTGCATATGAGTTACAGAGTATGTCAATGGCAGTGGACCCCCCTGATGTTAGTGACTTGCTCCTTAGCTGGCTTGTTTTTGTTCAGACGTTTTGTCACCATGCTAGGTAACATCATCAGTGAGGCCTCTGATGAAGCAATGTTGTTCTACTCTGCTAGGAATTTATACTGTGTGTCCGTTATGGTGAGTACTGTCACTTTCCGGTTTTGTTCTATATAGGTTTGTAGATGGGTTCCAATTCTATATGTTTGTTGATTGCCTTATGGGTTGAGAAGCATGCCTGTAGGAATTCCTGTGCGTGTCTATGTTTGGCTTGGGCTACTATAGTTATGTTGTCCCAGTTAAACTGATGGCCTTCACTGTCCGAGTGTACTGATACTGAGGAAAGTTTGTTGTGTCGTTTTGCTGCTAGCTTAGAGGAGACGATGGCCTAGTGGAATTATTGCTGGACTGTTAATCCAGAGACCCAGATAACATTTTGGGGACCTGGGTTCGAATCCTGCCAAGGCAGATGATGGAATTTGAATTTAGTAAATTGTGGAGTTAAGAGTCTAATGATGACCATGAATTCATTGTCGATTGTCGGAAAATCCGATTGTTGGAAAAACCCATCTGGTTCACTAATGTCCTTCAAGAAAGAAAACTGCCATCCTTACCTGAATGAATAAAGAAAAAAAAAATGTTCAAGCTGACTGAGCTTGGGGGTACCACTGGGGTCAAAGTAATCACATATGTTATGGATAAGGCAGGGTTAAATGAAAGAAAATCCCTGATATTCTCTTCATAAGTAACAAGTAACAATTTATTTATTTAACCCTAACAGTGAACAAATTAGCAGAACTTCTAACAAACCGAACAATTTCCCCCTAACTCCTAACTATCCCCTAGGTAAACAGAATTCTACTGGTGCGTTTTTCCAATAAACACAAGTCTCACTTGTATCACCCAAGTTGTAAGAAAAAAAATTAAAACTTAGTCGCTCAAAGTCCACATAGAATGTGTCTTCTGGAATGCCCTGCCTTCTCCACTGCCTCTCAAGTCATAAGCACCTTTCTTCCACTGACCTGCAGTCAGTGATGTTTTCTCCATGAAGACTCTTAGCTAGAAATGCCCTGGTACCTTTTATGGATGATATGGTGCTTTCTTAGAGAGCTTAGTGATTTCTTGTGAGAGCTAGATGCTTATTTCTGAGGTGGTAATTTGCTCTCACACTGATTTTCAAAAACCCTCTCCTTATATACCTTGGATGACATATCAATTTTCTTACAATAGCATTGGTCCGAGATTGTAAAAACCATCAGTTTAAAATTCAATTTGTTTTCAGTTGCTAAGTGCTTGGTTTAAATTAATTGGCTGATTCCAGCTCATGCCAAAACATTAAAACATGCTAAGGTTTCTAATCACACAGCCAATTGATACATGTTTCCATTTTAGAACTAGCTGTACATCTTCAGCTACATACAGGCACTTTTTGTTTTCTGTATAAATCTCTAAGCTTAGAAAAGCACTCTGTCTCTTAAAGGAACCACACACTCTATATAACTTTGTAACAAATAGCCTCACTCAGGATATATCGTGATCAGAGGGACTCTCGGTCAGCCTACAGCAAAACCAGAAAACAAAGCCAAGACTCAGCCAAATTGTTAAAATTTTCTTCAGGATCCTGGCCAGCAAGCCATTGTTGTTGCTGCTGGCCTGTGAACACGAGAAAGCAAGAGTCCCACGAGGCCTGAATTGAGAAAAAAGTGGCTGGTATCCAGGAAAGTGCTCACCCTGGAAAGTCCACCTACATCTGGCTTGGAACTGTTAAATTGCTTACCAATATTCAAATTAGAACCAGTCAAGATAAACTTCTGTTTAAATGGTCATCTGTTTCTAATCAAGGTCGATACCAGCGTGGACATATCAGTCATTGAGTCTTACAGCATGGAACCAGGTCCTTTGGCCAAACTTACCTATCCTGCCCAGTTTGTACCATTTAAATAATCCCACTTGCCTGTATTTGGTTCATATCCCTCCATACCTATCCCATCCATGTAAATGTCCAAATGTTTCTTAAATGAAGAAACTGTACTCGATCCCACCACTACCTCTGGCAGCCCGTTCCAGACACTCAACACCCTCTGTGTGAAAAAATTGCCCTTTGGACCCTTTTGGATTTCTCCCTTCTCACCTTGAACCCTATATCCTGTAGATGTAGACTCCCCTACCATGAGGAAAAGCTGTTGGCCATCTACCTTATCTATGCCTCACATGGTATTATAGATCTCTATAAGGTCACTCCTCAGTTTCCTAGGCTCCAGGAAAAAAAGGTCCCAGCCTATCCAACCTCTCCTTATAACTCAAACCTTCCAGTCCAGGTAGCATTCTAGTAAATCTTTTCTGCACTCTTTCTAGTTTAATAACATCCTGCAACAAAACGTCCCAACTCCAATACTCAAAGCTCTGACCACTGAAAGTAAACATGCCAAAAGCTTTCTTCACCACCCCGTCTACCTGTGACTCCGTTTTCAAGGAGCTATGAACCTGTAACCCTAGATCTCTTAGTTCGGTAGCACTCCCCAAAGCTCTACCATTGACAATGTAAGTCCTGCCATGGTTTGACCCACCAAAATGCAACACCTTGCATTTATTTAAATTAAACTCCATCTGCCATTCCTCAGCCCATTGGCCCAGTTGATCAAGATCTTGCCACATTCCCCAATAACCTTCTTCACTATTCACTGTACCATCAAACTTGGTGTCATCTGCTGACTTACTAACCATACCTCCTAACTTCTCATCTAAATTGTTTCTATAAATGATGAACCACAGTGGATCCAGCACCGATCCCAGTGACACACTGCTGGTCACAGGCCTCCAGTGTCTGCAGAACCAGTCTTCAACAAAATTCGCTCCAGACTCCAACCTTTAACTTTGAGCAAGTCCTCAACTAAACTGAGAACCTCTACCAGGGAACCTTTACAGATTAAGTGGGCATCTAAAATACGGAAACGACGATAGAAAAACCATGTGCAACTGTTTCAATGCATGGACTCCCAGAAATGCTGGCCACAGATAACGGGCCCTCATTTACCAGCAGGGAATTTTGGTTTCTCTTAAAGTCGAATCGGATTCAACATATAAAGACAGCTCCATACCATCCATCATCCAATGGCCTGAGAGAAAGCACAGTCCAAACTTTGAAAGTTGGTTTGAAGAAACAGCCTTCAGCCTCACTAGATACCAAGCTGTCCTGGTTCTTGTTCAGTTATAGGTCCCCCCCAACACTCAACTACAGGGATAGCACTGGCAGGAGTGCTAATGGGGTGAAGACTCTGCACCAGGTTAAATCTGATCTTCCCAGACCTGGGGGGAGGGTGAAACAACATCAGGAATGGCAATGCCAGACACAAAACTCTTCTAAGTGAGAGAGACAGTTTCCTTCAGGGGACAACATTTGGTGCTGGAACCACGGGAATAGCCCTGCATGGGTAAGAAGCATGGTTGAAGTTCGGGTAGGTGCAGCAGTCCTGAATAACCATGTGGGCCGTATGAAAGCTGCAAACTCACAAATGGTGCAGGAGCAAAATGTGCCCTGCCCCTTGGAACCGTTGGGCACCCATGGATTTGCCCTCTCCATCAAAAACATCGTCAGTTCCTCAGAACCCAAGATGGACATGATGGAAATAGCCATCTCCATGCCTTTCCTGCCGGAAGAATAGAGTGAAATTCTACTGAGGTGCTCCTCGCGCAAGAAGTGAGCTCCTGTGCATTACGTGCCGCCCATATCGGATGCCAAGTTGGAGGAAAGTGACCCAGTGCTAAAACGCCTCAGAAGGCTCTCCAAGAGAAAGAACCAGCCTCTGTCTGCAGACTGAGAGAGAGACGGATATAGTGGTTGTAATGAGGTCAGTCAGCTGGAACTCATACAACATGATTTACATGATTGGAGCTGTTAATCTGGTCTGATCAGGAGTCCTGGCTGACAGGTAAAAAGCATGTATGTCAGATGTTGCCATTCTGGTATCTGACACTAAATGAGGCAGTATCATGTGTAAAAATAGGGTGACTTTGTGATGGGATACCAACCTTTATGGAGTTATTTTAAAGAGAAAACCAAAGAGAGAGATAGAGAGAGTGACCTCTCCGTCTCCATTTCACACTCTGAGCTCTCTCTCTTCACTGATTTGGTTAGAGCTTCCTGCTGGTGCAAGTAAATTGGCAGCATTTCTCCCGTCTTCATGAACCTCCATAACCTATTATCGACGGGTCGGTTAGTCACACAGTGACAAGGACATATTATCAGTGGGTCGGTCACTCACACAGTGACAAGGCCATATTATCAGTGGGTCGGTCACTCACACAGTGACAAGGCCATATTATCAGTGGGTCAGTTAGTCACACAGTGACAAGGCCATATTATCAGTGGGTCAGTTAGTCACACAGTGACAAGGCCATATTATCAGTGTGTCGGTCAGTCAGTCAGTCACACAGTAACAAGGCTGCACTATCGAGGGGTCAGTCAGTGATACAGTGACGGTGCCACATTAGCGAGTTAATAACAAGTATCTGGTGCTCTCTTCCAGAGTTGCCAGTGTAATAAGGTGATATTTGAGGCTGTCGAGCAGCAGGATCTCGATACTGTGCAGTTGTTGCTCCGTCAGTACAGTGTTCAAGAGCTGGATCTCAACGCTCCCAATCGAGACGGCCTAACTCCATTGGACATCGCTATCATGACCAATCAGGTGGCTATTGCTCAGAGCCTCCTGAGGGCTGGAGCCAATGAGAACCCACACTGTGAGTCGATCCCTTTGTTGTTTGTCTTCCTGCTTAAACCATGGAGTCTTGTGATTCCTTCAATTTGTTCATTTTGAGATTTTGAGAAAGGATTAACGAGAACTGAAGCAATAGAGGCATAGCTTTTTATTTCAATAACGATTGTGGTGCTGGCTGTGTTCAAATTTGGGATATGTGGACTTGGCTGAGGCATACAGCACGGTTCAAGGATAAGTGAAAATATTTAAACGACTCGATCAGATTCCTGTTGCTTTGCTACTTTAATTTGATGCTTTGGAGAGGCCTTTCATTCCCAGTTCAGAAAATGGGAATGACTGACCTTGACATCAATGCTGCCTTCGACCGAGTGTGTGGCATCAAGAAGTGAAACGGGCATCAGTGTGCTTTAGGGAGCAAACTCTGCTGGTTGGAGTCATACCTGACACATAGGAAGATGGTTGTGGTTGTTGGAGGTCAGCCATCTCAGCTCCAGCACAAATGTGCAGGAGTTCCTCAGGGTACGTCCTATGCCCAACCATCTTCAGCTGCTTCATCAATGAACCTTGCACCCATCACAAAGCCAGAAGTGGGGATGTTCACTGATGATTGCAAAATGTTCAAACCATTCGCGACTCCTCAGATACTGAAGCAGTCCATGTTCACATGCAGCAAGATCTAGACAATATCCAGGCTTGAGTTGACAAGTGGCAAGTAACGTTCATGCCACACAAATGCCAGGCTATGACCATCTCCAACGAAGGAAATAAAATATCGCATGAGGTGTGTGATGGAATACTCCCCACCTGTCTGGATGAATGCAGCCCCAATAACACTTCAGACATCATCCAGGACAAAGCAACCCGCTTGATTTGTACTATATCCACAAGCATCCACTCCCTCCACCCCCGGCACTCAGTAGCAGCAATGTGTACTATCTACAAGATGCGCTGCAGAAATTCACCAAAGATCCTCAAACAGCACCTTCCAAACTCACAACCACTTCCATCTAGAAGGACAAGGGCAGGAACATCACCGTCTGCGAGTTCCCCTCCCACACTCACCATTCTGACTTGGAAACATACTGCCGTTCCTTCACTGTTCCTTGGTCAAAACCCTCAGTTTCCTCCCCAAGGGCATTGTAAGTCCACCCACAGCACATGGACTGCAGCGTTCAAGAGGGCAGCTCACCACCCCCCCCATCCTTCTCAAGGGCAACTAGGGACAGACAATAAATGCTGATCCAGCCAGCAACACCCTTTTCCCACATGAAATACACCTCGAATGAGAATTGATTTACGTTAAACCTAATGCGATTTGTTTGCTTTGTTGCTAGTTGTTAGTGTGGAGACCAGAGTCAGACACCTGACTAACCTCATCCAGCAGACAGAGGGGCTTTTGAATGACCTGTCCTCTGAGACACTGAGCAACACACTCAGCCATGGCAGTGCAGAGAAACAGAAACAACGTGGAGTCTGGGAATCAAGATACAAGCTGTACAAACAAATGAAAGCACAGGTTGAAACTGCAAGTAAGAGTCTGCCAAACAGAAAGATCAGATTGAGAAGCCATTACCATACTCTATTCATCCCCGGAGTGGTAATGGATGCCTGGGAGTGAGTTACAGACTGGAATCTAATCGTGGGGTTCGGGGTGGTTTATATATAGAATAACAGATACCTGGGAGTGAGATACAGACTGGAATCTAATCAAGGAGTTTGGGGTGGTTTATATATAGAATAATAAATACCCCGGGAGTGAGTTACAGACTGAAATCTAATTGAGGGGTTCGGGGCAGTTTATATATGTAATAACAGATACCCAATAGTGAGCTATAGAGTGGAATCTAATCAAGGAGTTTGGGGTAGTTTATATATAGAATTAGAGATACCCCGGGAGTGAGTAACAGACTGGAATCTAATCGAGGGGTTCAGGATCGTTCATAAATAGAATAACAAATGCCCAGGTGTGAGTTACAGACTGGAATCTAATTGACCGATTCTGGGCTCTCAGTGAATTTCGGAAAATATTAGCTTTGTTGTTTCGTTTTCCAGCGGTCCCTGGTCCTCCCATTAATGTCTGTCTCACTGTGACGAGCAGTACCTCACTGACAGTCACATTCCAGGAGCCGCTGAGTGTGAACTCTGCTCTGATCACCGGATACAAAGGTATTTCTCTCTTTCCATCACTCCCTCTCCAAGATGTGTCATTTAGCAGCCCTGAGTGTTCCTTCAGTTCATGTCAGTCGTGATGGTGACCCACTCTTCATCCGCGTTGTATTCTGTTCTTTTGGGCTGTTTTATTGTTGTTCAAAATTAGGTCAGGAACAGTATTGTTCTGGAATCCTCCAAAATCAGATAGTAATCTCTGAGAGAACCTGTTTGAAACATTTGAGGAGATGTTGCCCTGATGTTTCTGTCTGAGTGGAGACACTCGAGGAGTAGTGTCAGAATTCAGGAGGGTAGCACTGTAGCAAGAATGTGTGCACGTTCTGATGATGGAGAATCTGATTACAGTGAGAGGAGTGTGTGCAGATTGTCACCTCTATTATTGACCAGTTGTTGTGATGATTGGCACACCTAGGCATCCATTGGCCAGAGTGTGTGGTTGGGATCTTCTCTTCCACAGTGTGACAATGATATCAGACAGATACCTTCAGACAGGATCTATTTAAAATTATTTTTGAAGATTGAGCTTGAGCCTCTGTCGCATCACCTGGACACGACATTCCCACTGACAGGAAGTGAGTCGAGGTGATCACGGAGTGAGGGAGAGTTTCTGCTGAGTTCAGCCATTGCTGGGCTCATGGTGTCATCATATCAGACAGCGTCGGGGACACTGAACCTGCACCGGCTTTTTGACCACTCTCTGCTCTTTCCCAATATCTCTCTGCAGCTATTTCTTCTCAGCATTTCTCCAGTTCCTTTTTTGAAAGTTCCCATTGAAGCACCTTCCATTTCCCCATCAGGCAGTGTGTTCCCAATCACAATGACCCACAGTATCCAGGAGACATCTCCTCTGGTTCACCTGCCTGTCCCCTGCAATCTGTGTCCCTCTGCTCACCAACCCCCTTTGCCCCTGGAAACAGTTGCCCTCAATCTGCCCAATGAGAATCTGCCTGCAATTCTGGTCTGGGAGCATTCCTGCAGGAGCAATCTCACACATTGACTGCCACTGAAGCCTGGTCTCACTGTTGCAAGAGCCTAGGCTCCCATCTGTCTTTCCAATGGCCTTTCCTCTTATCTCAGCAGCACAGACACCCTCTGTATTTCTGTACAGGATACTCAGCTTTCTGTTCCTCAGCCCCCGAGAACATTGCATCATTCACTGCCTCTGCTCATTGTTTTTTTTACCAAAATGTACACTTCCTCCATTTCACCCACTCTGCATCTCCTTGTCTGACAAGTTCCCTCTTGCCAAAGTCCATTCCCCTCCCCCAGCCCTGATTGCTTCCCTCTTTTCCAAGTCTTGAATCCTCTGTAATGTTTGAGATGATATGTCCTGTTTATCCACATCCCAGTGAGTAATTTACATCAATGAAAGCCAAGCAGCAGGGGTGTATGAGAGAGGTGAAACAGTGGGGCAGGCTGAGGACTGTAAGGTAGAGCAGCCAATATCGTCATCAAATGTCTCTAACTCCTTCCTAACCATGTCTTTGAAGGTACTAAATTCCTCTTTCTAATGTTGTCCTAGTGGAATGGAGCTGTTTGATGGATTTCTCAGTAGACTGTGGGGAGCTCATACTGGAGGGTGTCAGCACTCTGAGATGTACAATCACAGGACTCAGGACGGTAAGTACACAGTTATTCACCTGGGCTTCACTTTTCAAACAATCCCAGCAATATCACATCACATCACAGTCAGCAAGCTCATTCACAGAACAGAACGCGCAGGAACTGTGCAAGGAGATGAACTGACTGGGTGGGATCAATGAGAGGGTGGAGAGTGTGCCATGTTTTAAACATATCCTTTTGATCTTATGCCAGGGTCAAGTTTACTACGTCCGAGTGTCAGCTGCCAATATGAAGGGCTGGGGATGCCCACAGGCTGCCAGGCCAGCCTTTGCTATCCCATCCAGTAAGTGAATCCTTGAAGTCGTAATGAACAAGGTTTATTCTTAGTTTCTGCAAACGTATAGTCCTTTATACATTTAAAATGTACTTCCTTTATTTTCTGAGAAAGCACTTTGAATGCGCAGTGAGCAATAATTGAATGACTCTGTGTCCAGCCCATGTCAAATGAAGCAATAAAAGCAGAAGATAGTAGGAACTGCAGATGCTGCAGAATCTGAGATAACAAGGTGTAGAGCTGGATGAACACAGCAGGCCAAGCAGCATCAGAGGAGCAGGAAAGCTGACGTTTCGGGTTGAGACCCTTCTTCAGAAATGGGGGAGGGGAAGGGGATTCTGAAATAAATAGGGAGAAAGGGGGAGGCAGATAGAAGATGGATAAAGGAGAAGATAGGTGGAGAGGAGACAAACAGGTCAAGGAGGCGGGGGATGGAGCCAGTAAAGTTAGGGAGGGGATAGGTCAGTCCAGGGAGGACGGACAGGTCAAGGAGGCGGGATGAGGTTAGTGGGTAGGAGATGGGGGTGGGGCTTGAGGTGGGAGGAATGGTTAGGGAGGCGGGGACGAGCTGGGCTGGTTTTGGGATGCGGTAGGGGGAGGGGAGATTTTGAAGCTTGTGAAGTCCACATTGATACCCTTGGGCTGCAGGGTTCCCAAGTGAAATATGAGATGCTGTTCCTGCAGCTTTCAGGTGGCATCATTGTGGCAATGCAGGAGGCCCAGGATGGACATGTCGTCCAAGGAGTGGGAGGGGGAGTTGAAATGGTTCGCGACTGGGAGGTGCAGTTGTTTGTTGCGAACCGAACGTAGGTGTTTCCGCAAAGCGGTCCCCAAGCCTCCGCTTGGTTTCCCCAATGTAGAGGAGGCCACAACGGGAACAGCGGATACAGTCTACCACATTAGCAGATGTGCAGGTGAACATCTGTTTGATGTGGAAGGTCTTCTTAGGGCCTGGGATGGGGGTGAGGGGGGAGGTGTAGGGGCAGGTGTAGCACTTGCTCCGGTTGCAGGGAAAAGTGCCGGGGGTGGTGGGGCTGGAGGGGAGTGTAGAGCGGACAAGGGAGTCACGGAGAGAGCGGTCCCTCCGGAAAGCAGATAAGGGTGGGGAGGGAAAAATGTCTTTGGTAGTGGGTTCAGATTGCAGATGGCAGAAGTGTCGGAGGATGATGCGTTGGATTCGGAGGTTGGTGGGGTGATATGTGAGGACAAGGGGGTTTCTGTTTTGGTTGTTACTGTGGGTAGGGGATGTGAGGGATGAGTTGCGGGAAATGCGAGAGACATGAGGAGCTCCAACAGTTCATCCACTTCACTAACACCTTCCACCCCACCTTAAGTTCACCTGGACCATCTCTGATACCTCTCTCTCCTTCCTGGACCTCTCTGTCTCCATTTCTGGCATCCACCTGGAAGCCAATATCCATTTCAAGCCTACCGACTCCCACAGCTACCTAGAATACACCGCCTCTCACCCACCTTCCTGCAAAAAAGTCATCCCCTATTCCCAAATCCTTCGCCTCTGCCGCATCTGCTCCCGAGATGAGGCATTCCACTCCCGAACATCCCCGATGTCCTCGTTTTTCAAGGACCGCAACTTCCCCTCCACAGTGGTCGAAAATGCTCTCGACCGTGTCTCTCGCATTTCCCGCAACTCATCCCCTATCCACAGTAACAACCAAAACAGAATCCCCCTTGTCCTCACATATCACCCCACCAACCTCCGAATCCAACGCATCATCCTCCGACACTTCCGCCATCTGCAATCTGACCCCACTACCAAAGACATTTTTCCCTCCCCACCCTTATCTGCTTTCCGGAGAGATCGCTCTCTCAGTGACTCCCTTGTCCGCTCTACACTCCCCTCCAGCCCCACCACCCCGGCACTTTTCCCTGCAACCGGAGCAAGTGCTACACCTGCCCCTATACCTCCCCCCTTACCCTGATCCCAGGCCCTAAGAAGACCTCCCACATCAAACAGATGTTCACCTGCACATCTGCTAATGTGGTATACTGTATCCGCTGTTCCTGTTGTGGCCTCCTCTACATTGGGGAAACCAAGCGGAGGCTTGGGGACCGCTTTGCAGAAACACCTACGCTTGGTTCGCAACAAACAACTGCACCTCCCAGTCGCGAACCATTTCAACTCCCCCTCCCACTCCTTGGACGACATGTTCATCCTGGGCCTCCTGCATTGCCACAATGATGCCACCTGAAAGCTGCAGGAACAGCATCTCATAATTCACTTGGGAACCCTGCAGCCCAAGGGTATCAATGTGGACTTCACAAGCTTCAAAATCTTCCATCCCCCTACCGCATCCCAAAACCAGCCCAGCTCGTACCCGCCTCCCTAACCTGTCCTTCCTCCCACCTATCCGCTACTCCCACCTCAAGCCCCACCCCCATCTCCTACCTACTAACCTCATCCTGCCTCCTTGACCTGTCCGTCCTCCCTGGACAGACCTATCCCCTCCCTAACTCCCCACCTACACTCACCTTTACTGGCTCCATTCCCGCCTCTTCGACCTGTCTGTCTCCTCTCGACCTATCTTCTCCTCTATCCATCTTCTATCCGCCTCCCTCTCTCTCCCTATTTATTTCAGAATCCCCTTCCCCTCCCCCATTTCTGAAGAAGGGTCTCGACCCGAAACGTCAGCTTTTCTGCTCCTCTGATGCTGCTTGGCCTGCTGTGTTCATCCAGCTCTACACCTTGTTACCAATAAAAGCAGAAGTTGCTAGAAAAACTCAGCAGGTCTGGCAGCATCTGTGATGAAAAAATCAGAGTTAACGTTTGACCTGTCCTCAGTTCTGAGGAAGGTTCACCGGACCCGAAACGTTAATTCTGATTTTTTTCTTCACAGATGCTGCCAGACCTGCTGAGCTTTTCCAGCAATTTCTGTTTTTGTTCCTGGTTTAGAGCATTCGCAGTTCTTTCAGTTTTTAATCAAATGAAGCAATATTGTCTGTAACGTGTGTTGTGGATTGCATGAACTGAGATGTGATTTTGTCAGTCAGATGATTCGTTCTCAATGTTTTGTGGTTCACTGCTCAGGTAACAGAGCAAAACTTTCCAAAACTAAACTTTGTTGCAGTGGAATTTGCCCTATAAACATCAGAATGAAGACCAACCAGGAGTTTGAAGAAGACAGGGCTGTGTGCAGTGTTTGTACTTACCCTCCTGTGGGATTGGGGTGGTTGGAGGGAGGGGACACACTGCGGAATACCCTTTCAATCTGCTTCTGTTTATTTTTGAGATTGGAAAGAGCTTGATGGAAAGGAGCCGAGGTTCAGGGATCAAACGCAGCAGCTGGAACTCTTGCGGAAACGTGTGCGAGCGGAACATGAGAATTACAACAACAAAGGTCAGTGTGAGAGTGTCAGTGTCCAGTGAGAGTAAGTGTATCAGTGCCCAGTGAGTGTGAGTGTATCACTGCCTGGGGAGTGTGAGAGTGTCACTGCCCGGGGAGTGTGAGAGTGTCACTGCCCGGGGAGTGTGAGAGTATTACTGCCCGGGGAGTGTGAGAGTGTCACTGCCCGGGGAGTGTGAGTGTATCACTGCCCGGGGAGTGTGAGAGTATCACTGCCTGGGGAGTGTGAGTGTGTCACTGCCCGGGGAGTGTGAGAGTATCACTGCCTGGGGAGTGTGAGTGTGTCACTGCCTGGGGAGTGTGAGAGTGTCAGTGCCCATGGAGTATAACAGTATCAGTGCCCAGTGAGTGTGAGTGAATGAGTGCCCAATGAATGTGTCATGCACAGACACACACACAGACACAGACACGCACACATAGATATGCACATTCACACACACACAGACACACACATTCACAAACACACACATACACACAGACACACACACACAGAGACACAGATACACACCCCTCCCCCCACACATGCACACGCACAGACATACACACACACACACATCCACACACCTCCACCCTCCCCACACACACACCTCTCCCCACACACACACCCCGCCCCCCCACCACACACATACATACACATACACACACTCCCCCCCACCACACACACACGCGCACGCACACACACACGCACACGCACACGCACACGCACACATGCACACACATACACACCCGTCCCTCTCCCACACACACCCCTCCCCACACACACACACCACACCCCTCCCACACACACACACATGCACACAGACATACACACACGCTCATGCATGCACACACACACGCACATGCACACACGCATACACACACGTACACGTGCACACGCACACACATGCACATACACACACACACACACACACACACACACACACACCAACAGACATGACACAATCAGACATCAAGACACAGGCATGCACAGCGTCACAGACACATTCACAGATGCAGACAGACACACACAGACCTTTACTCACAGACATGCTAGTTGCCTAGTGGTATTGTCACTAGACTGTTAACCCAGAAACGGAGCTAATGGTCCGGGCGCCCAAGCTCAAATCCTGCCATGGATGGAGTTTAAATTCAGTGAGGAATCTGGAATTAAGAATCTACTGGTGACCATTGTTTACTATCAGTAAAACCCATCAGGTTCATTATATCCTTTAGGAAAGGTATCTGCCATCCTTACCTGATTTGGCGTACATGTGACTCCAGACCCACAGCGATGTGATTGACTTTTACCTGCCCTCTAGACAATTAGGTATGCAGAATTAATGCTGGCCCATTCTGAGAGTGAAGAAAACAAAAACATATGCACACACAAACATTCTTGAACTAATTGGCTGAGAAACAAATCCGATTACTTTTTTGGTAAATGAAGAGGAGTTTATTTTTGGAGAGAGCACTCAGCTGACATTAATTCCGTCAGGCTTTCTTCTACAATCTCTTCCATCAGGCAGAAGATACACACACCAACAGGTTCAAGAACCGCTTCTTCCCTGCTTTTATTAGACTGCTGAATGAACTTTCTAACATCAAATAATGTTGATCTTGCTTTGTGCAGTTGTAACCTGTATGCCTTGCTCTGTCTACGATCTGTATTTCCTTTTTTGCTGTGATCCACCCGTATTGCCCACAAACAAAGCTTTTCGCTGTACTTAGATACATGTGACTACAACAAACCAAATTTCAATCCCACACTTTTACAAAAACATGTTTCTTTTCTTTTCTAGAAAGCATGAAGTTCCAGAATTCCTGCCGAAAGCCGTCAGTGTCACGAAGTCTGAAACATCTCTTTCATTCCTCCAGCAAGTTTGTGAAAACATTAAAAAGGTTTCTGTCCAAAATCATTGGGTAAAATGACCAGGAATAGGGGAGTGCAAAGAAAATCTCTAATCCAAACTCAAAGAACTGGGAATGGAACAGACCTAACCCCATTCCCCTGACCCTCACTTCCCAACCCCCTTCCCTGAATTTCAACCTCCTAACCCCTTCCCCAAACCCCTCACCCTCACACAGACCCATTCCATTCTATCTTCACTGACCCCTTCCCCATCCCCCTCACAGGCCCATTTCACCTTCACTGACCCCTTCCCCATCCCCCTCACAGGCCCATTCCACCTTCACTGACCCCTTCCCCATCCCCATAACAGACCCATTCCACCTTCATTGATCCCTTTCCCATCCCCTTGACAGACCCACTCCACCTTCACTGACCCCTGTCCCATCCCCCTGACAGGCCCATTCCACCTTCACCGCCCTCTATCCCCATCCCCCAGATAGGACAGATTCTAATGGTGGGGGGAGTGAGTCAAGGTTCAGAGGGGTCTGGGAGGTGTCTGTGAATATTCGAGACTCTCTGACCACTGTATCTCTCCTATCTTTCCAAGAGGAATGTACATAGCTGTCATCTTCCACCACAAGGGCAATGTCCTGGTCACAAATGAAGATCAGATCCCAATGATGGAAATAGACGATTCCTGTTCTGGATTGTTGATGCAGGACTTCCTCTGGTTCTCAAAGGTCTGTCCAAACTTCCTCATCTTCACTCGATAGCACATTGTTTACATCAGCTCTGTGAGGTCACTGACTGGGCCAACAATCTCGATGGAATCTCTCAGAGAGCTTACTGAGAGAGCGCCGCACTGTCAGAGGGTCAGTACTGAGGGAGTGCCGCACTGTCAGAGGGTCAGTACTGAGGGAGTGCCGCACTGTCAGAGGGTCAGTGCTGAGGGAGTGCCGCACTGTCGGAGGGTCAGTGCTGAGGGAGCGCCGCACTGTTGGAGGGTCAGTGCTGAGGGAGCACCGCACTTTCAGAGGGTCAGTGCTGGGGGAGTGCCGCACTGTCTGAGGGTCAGTACTGAGGGAGTGCCGCACTTTCAAAGGGTCACTGCTGAGGGAGTTCTTACTGTCCTGCCATTCATTGAGTTTTGTACCATCCTCGCACTTATCAGAGTTAAATTCTATCTGCCACTAGTCTGCCCATCTGACTCATCCGTTTATATCCTCCTGTAACTTAATAATTTCTTCCTCAATCTTACCCATCCAGCCAATCTTTGTGTCACCCACAATCTTACTTATCATCTCCCCCATATTCTCAACTATACCATTTATGTATCACTGTCTTCTGTATACATGCATCAACCAGTGTGGTACCCCACTGGACTCCAGCCTCCAGTCATACTTCCATCGCCACCGTCTGTCTCCTATCACTAAGAAAATTTTGGATCCAACTTGTAAAGTAATCCTGGATCCCAAATGCTTTTACCTTTTTTATCAGTTTCCCATGTGGGATCTTGTCAAAACTGCCTTGCTGAAATGCTTGTAAATTACATCAACTACATTACCCTCATCTATAGGCCTGATCACCTCCTCGAAAAATTCTATCAAATTTGTTAAGCATGACCTACCTCTGAAAAAGCCATGCTGACTGTCCCTGATCAAACCATGCCTCTCCAAGTGGAGATCAATTCTTTCCTTCAGAATTTTCTCTGACAGTTTCCCTACCCCTGATGTGAGACCCACTGGTCTATAATTCCCTGGTTTATCTGTACCTCCCTTCTTGAAAAGTGAAACCACATTAGCTGTCATCCTGTCCTTTGGTATCTTCCCTGTGGCCAGAGAGGAATTCAAGATTTGGGTAAAGCCCCCAAATTTCCTCCCTTGTCTCTCACAACAGCCTGGGATACAACACATCTGGACCTAGGGATTTGTCCCAAGCAAAGACAGATGTGAAGTACTCATTTAACACCACAATGTCCTGTGGTTTCACACACAGATTGCCCCATTGGTCCCTAATCGGTCCTCCTCTTTCCCTGGTTATTCTCCTCCACTTGATATACTTGTAGAACATCTTGGGATTCTCCCAAATCATGCCTGCCATGATTTGCCTTCCTAACTGCTTTCTTGAGCTCTCCCCCCCGTACTGCATATACTCCTGTAACGCCTCAGTTGTTTAGTTCCCTTTATACTTGTTATATGGTACTCTTTTCCTATTTTTAAAGTACTGACCTGCCAGTCTTCTCTGAACTTGTTTTTATGCACTCATGGGACATGAAGGCCACTGGCTGGATCAGCAGTTATTGCCCGTGCATGGTTGCCCTTGAGAAGGTGGGGGTGAGCTGCCTTCTTAAACCGCTGCAGTCCACCTGCTGTGGGTTGACCCACAATGCCCTTAGAGAGGGAATTCCAGGATTTTGACCCAGCGACACTGAAGGAATGGCGATGTATTTCCAAGTCAGGATGGTGAGTGTTTTGGAGGGGAACTCAAAGGTGGTGGTGTTCCCATGTATCTGCTGCCCTTGTCCTTCTAGATAGAAGTGGTGGGTTTGGAAGGTGCTGTCTAAGGATCTTTGATGAATTTCTGCAGTGCATCTTTCAGATAGTACACACTGCTGGTACTGAGCGTCGATGGTGGAAGAGTAGATGCTTAGGGAAGTGGTGCCAATCAAGTGGGCTGCTTTGTCCTGGATGGTGTCAAGCTTCTTGAGTGTTGTTGGGGTTGCACTCATTCAGGCAAGTGGAGAGTATTCCATCATATTCCTGACTTGTGCCGTGTAGATGGTGGACAGGCTTTGGAAAGTCAGGAGATCAGTTACTTGCTGCAGTATTCCTAGCTTTGACCTGCTCTTGTAGTCACTGTGTTTAAATGGTGAGTACAGTTGAGTTTCTGATTGAAGGTAACCCCAAGGGTGTTTAATTGGGGATTCAGTGCTAGTAAGGCTATTGAATGTCAAGGGCAGTGGTTAGATTGTCTCTTATTGGTGATGGTCATTGCCTGGCATTTGTGTGGCATGAATGTTACTTGCCACTTGTCAGCCCAAGCCTGGATATTGTCCAGATCTTGTTGCATTTGAACATGGACTGCTTCAGTGTTTGAGGAGTCGCGAATGGTGCTGAACATTGTGCAATCATCAGCGAACATCCCCACTTCTGACGTTATGATGGAGGGAAAGCCATTAATGAAGCAGTTAAGATGGTTGGGCATAGGGCACCAGGAGGAACTCCTGCAGAGATGTCCTGGAGCTGAGATGACTGACCTCCAATGCCAATATATGTCTCCTTAAATGAGTGGTGTAAAAGTGTTGATAGTATTCTAGCTGTGGTCTGACTAGTGCCTTGTATAATTATAGCAGAATCTCCCTATATTTCATTTCCCTTCCCTCATACTTGCTGAACTTGTAATGCTAGCTTTTTGTAATTCATGGATGAAGGCTTCCAAATCTCTCTGTTCTGTAACTTTCTGCAGTTTTTTCTCCATCTAAATAATATTCACCTCTTATATTCTTCCTGCCAAACTGCATAACCTCACACTTCCCCACACTATATTCCATCTGCCAAGTCTTTTTGCCCACTCAACTTAACGTGTCTATATCGAATCCCACTATGGCAGATGGTGGAATTTGAATTTAATAAGTATCTGGAATTAAGAGTCTAATGATGACCGTGAATCCATTGCCGATTGTTGGAAAAACCCATCTGGTTCACTAATGTCCTTTAGGGAAGGAAACTGCCATCCTTACCTGGTCTGGCCTACATGTGACTCCTGAACCACAGCAATGTGGTTGACTCTCAACTGCCCTCTGGGCAATTAGGGATTGGCAATAAATGCTGCCTAGCCAGTGATGCCCTCATCCCGTGAATGAATAAAGGAAAAAAATCCCTCTACAGACTGTTTATCACCATGGCATCCGCAGTTCTTTCAGTTTTTATACACTCTTTATGTTGTCCCCCCCAATTGACTTCTCACCTATTGTGTCATCCGCAAGTTTGGTGATCATACATTTACTTTCCGCATCTTAGTTGTTAGTGTATGTACGTGGACTCTTGCAGTTTAAGAAGGCAGCTCACTGCTACCTTCTGAAAGCCAGTGAGGAATGGGCAATAAATGCTGGGCAGCCATCAGTGGCCACATCCAACAAATGAAAAAAAAAATGTAAATAATTGTGGACCCAGCACTGATTCTTGTAGCACCCACCCCAGTTTCAGGTTGCCATCCTGAAAATGTGCCCTCTACCCCCAAACTGTGCCCCCCTCCCCCCATTTTGGAGACAGCTCTCTGGTTATCAAGTGCAGAGCTGCTTTATCTGTCTGCTGTAGTCATAAATGATTTGAACATTAACAGAGTGGAATCCTTTAATGATTGTGTGGACTGCTGGTTCCTGCCAGGGCACTCTGATTGATTGCAAAGTGATGTGGACCTTGAGTAACCAGAGAGAGACAAATTCAGACATCAGGGGAGGGAGATGAGAGTACTCTGTACACCATGAGTTATGCCTGAAAGTGTGGTAGGTGCAGATCTAGTAGGAACCTTCACAAGGGAAATAGATAAAGGACGGAAAAGTGCACAGTGATGAGGCAAAGAGCAAGGGGAGTGGTATTAAATAGACTGCTCTTTCATAGAACCAATACACGTACAGTGGACTGAATGGCCTTCATTGGCATTGTCTGATGCTCTGACATTGCTATACCTTACCACAGGGGCTTCATTCAGGGCAAGCTGCTGCAGAACCTTTAACAGCAATCAACCTGTTTCTTTCTTCCAGCTATCTTGCTCATGGGAAGAGGTCAGATGGTTGCAACAGAATCTAGCCATTTCCACATCACCCTCCTCAGGTCTGCAATCAAGGCACAAGATGCTGAACGCAGCAGCTCAGTTACAGGTCAGTAAACATGGACAGAGGAAAGAACAGCCATTAACATCAGCTCATCTGACAATATCATGCAACATTATCCAAGCCATTCCAGTCCGCAGAGTATTTGATGGGGACAGAGCTTTACTCCAAGTCTGCAAACATACTGATCATTTTCTAAATTTGTGCCTATATCACAATGTGTACAACAAAGAACAAAGGACCCAGTAATGACCCCACTGGACAGAGGCTTCCAGTCACAAAAACAACTTTGACCATCACCCTCTGCCTCTGCCAGTTTTTGACCTAATTTGCCAAGCTGCCTGGATCCAGTGGGCTCTTACTGTTTTAGCCAGTTTCCAATGTGAGACCTTGTTAAAAGCCTTCCTGAAGTCTGCCTAGACTACATCCACTGCACTACCCTCATCCACACACCGAGACATCTCCTCAGAAAACTCAATCAAACCTGTCCGACATGATCTCCCTGACAAAGTTCTGTGAATACTTTTGTTTAATCTATGCCCCTCCAAGCAGAGATTAATTCTTTCCCTCAGAATTTTTACCAATAGTTTGCCCACTACTGATGTCAATCTCACTGGCCTATAGTTTTCCTGGTTTGTCCCCTCCATCCTTCTTGAATAATGGAACCACATTATCTGTTTTGCAGTCTCCTGGCACCTCTCCTGTGTCCAGAGAGGATTTGTAATATAATGTTGACCCTTTGCCTCCTACACAGCCTCAGATACATTTTATCTGGACCTGGAGATTTATCCTCTTTCAAGCCACTAAAATTGTTCCTGCCTCCTCTCTCTCTCAAAGCTAATTCAGTCAGGTGTATCACTGCTCCCATCCCTGATGTCTATACCTACATCATTCTTCTCTACAGTGAATACTGAAGCAAAGTACTCATTTAAAACTTCACCTGCAACTTCCAACTCCGCCCACAGATTGCCACTTTGGTCCTTAATGAACCCTACTGTTTCCCCGGTGATTCCCTTGCCCCGAAAATATTTATAAAATTGGGATTTTCTTTAATGTTACCCACAGTGACTTTTCATGTCCCCTTTTTGCTCTCCTAACTTTTTTTTAAGCATTCCCCGCACTTTCTATACTCCAATCGGATATCTACTTGTTCTCAGCCTTCTGTGTCTGATGTAAGCATCCTTTATTTTCCTTATCTGATTCTGTTCGTCCCTTGAGATCCAGGGTTCTCGGATTTATTGGTCCCACCCTTCACCTTTACAGGGAAATGTTACCCTACACTCTCACCATTCTCCTTTTCAATGCCTCCCACTGCTCTGTTGGGGATTTCCCTGCAAGGTAAGCTGATCCCAGTTTACTTTGGTCAGATTCTGTCTTATCTTATTAAAACCAGCTTTCCCTCATTTAAGACCCCTTATTTCGGGTCCATCTTTGTCCTTGTCCATAATTCCCTTAAATCTTACTAAATTACTGTCTCTATCACTGAAATGTTCTCCACTGCCTCATCTACCACTTACCTGGCTTCATTCTCTAAAATAAGGTCCAGTACCACTCCCTCTTGTGGGACTTTCTATGTGCTGCCTCCTGTATGTATTTCAGGAATTCTGCTCTGTCTAGGCCTTCCACACTTTATCTATTCCAGTTAGTATTGGGGAAGTTGAAATCCCCCCGTTATTATTATGCTATTATTTTTAAACCTCTCTGAGAATTGCCTACATACCTGCTGCTCTGTATTTCCCTGACTGTGTGGGTGTCTATCATACACCCCAAACCATGTCACTGCGCCTTTTTGTTTGTAATATTTACCCATACTGCCTCAATGTTCTAAAATATCATTCCTCCTTGTTGCTGTGTTTGTTACCTTGATCAATATTGCAACATCACCTTCTCATTTATCCTGGAATATTGGGCTTCCAGCCCTGTCCTTCCATCAGCCATGTCTCTCAGACAATAATAACATCCTAACCCTTGGGTATCAGTAAGGACCCTCAACTCACCTGCTTTACATATTAGACGCCTTGCAATAAATAAATGCCATTCAACATTACCATAATCCCTTGTACCTTGACTGTATATGCCCTACCTTCTGCACTGACTTGGCCTTTCTTCTACATTTGCCTGTGCATCACTCCCTATTTCACCCCCACTCCATACCCCGTCCCCTTACCAAATTAGTGTAAACCCTCAGTTACAGCAGGAGCAAACCTCCCCACAAGAATATGGGTCCCTCGCAGATCAGCTGCAATCCCACTGACCCGTGCAGGTCCCACCTTCCCAGACCAGCGATTCAGGAATCTGAAGCCCTCCAATGTACACCAACTCCTTAGCCACGTATTCATCTGCTCCATTTGCCTCTTTGTGCAGCGCAATCGTTAGCACATGGAACTGGATATAGTCCAGAGATTACAGCTTTTGAGGTCCTGCTTTTCAATCTGCTACCTCACTCCCTAAATTGTTGTGGCAGGGCCTCAACCCTCTTTCCACTTGTGTCACTGGTACCAATGTGAATCCTAACCTTTGTTTGTCCACCCCTTACAGAATGCCCTGTGGTGTTCAATGATATCCTTGACGCTAGTCCCACAGGGAGCTAACGCAGCATCCTGGGGTCACATTGTGCCTGTGGAAATGCCTGCCTGTATTGCCCTTTGTTAAATCTCCTCTCACTCTGACTTCTCTCCATAGGTGCTTCCAGACCTGCTGAGCTTTTCCAGCAATTTCTGTTTTTGTTTCTGATTTCCAGTATCAGCAGTTCTTTTGGGTTTCTTTTTTACCATATTGTTCTCCCTGTCTTTTATCTCGCCCCTTGTGCACTGAGCTCTGTCTGCACTCTTCAGAAGATCCATAACTCTCCCCATCACTCTTTTTGAGTGAGCTACTCTAGAGCTTTCTTCACTCCCCACCTGCCTCCCTTCTTCTGACTGATGGTTAGGCATAGACAGAGCTTTACTCTGTACTTAAACTGTTATGACAGGTGTAAGCAGGGCACAGAACTAAGTGTCTGCATTTTGCAAGAGACTTGGTGTCTCTCCAGGTGGATAACGAACATACTGACTGCGTGGTAGTGTTCTGACAGGGTGCTCGGTGTTCTTAAGTTATCTGACTGTGGCTCACCACCATGCTGTCCTCTTGCAGACATTGCTTGGCACCCAGAACCTGGGCAGAGTTTATTATGAGCCCATCAAGGATCGACACGGGAATGTGCTGTTGGTGACAGTGCGGGAGCTCGAGACTCAGTGCTCCTTCGTCGCTGGCAAGTGGATACAAATCGCCAAGTTTCAGAACCAAAGGAAGTCAATGTCCATTCTCGAGGAGCCAACAGCACTTGATGTGTTACTCATAACAATCCAGGTTTGTACCAACCCTGCAGTGCAGAGGGAACTTTGGTCTATATCTAACCCCATGCTGTCCCTGTATTGTGAGTATTTAATGGGCGACATTGTAGACGGAACTTTACTGTGTATCTAACTCCATGCTGTCCATGTGCATAGGAACAGGCCAGCCTGGTATAAGATGATGAGGTGCTGCCTGGTGTGAAATGTATTCTATGCTCTCTGCTATTATTTCTGACTGCAGTGTCCTGGACATGTTTCAGCCTTGACCTTTCAGCTTACTTTCTCCTAAAATATTTTGTAATTTTAAGTGGGAATGTGCTGAGTCGTGTTTTACTGTATCCACAATGCCGAGCAAAAGAATGAGCTCTAAACACTGACATTTGTTGTGTTGGTCCCTTGCAGGATGTGCTGTCCTATTCCAAGAGGAGTCAAAGGGGACTGAGCCCTGGGCTATATTTAGGTTATTTGAAGCTGTGCAGTTCCGTGGATCAGATCAAGGTGCTGGTCCCATCCAGGATGCCCAACATGCTCTGCCACATGAAGGTGTGTGACAACAGCAATGTTTCCAGGTAGGACATCCTTCCTGACCTTCCATCAGAAAGATACCACCTGTCCTCACATCAATCTATGATGCTGACTATACAATCATTCTCCAATTCCTACCTATCTGTGTAGGGTCAAAGCTCCTAGAATCTGATTTTCACTTGCAATTCCATCCCTGTGATTTCTGCATTGATTTTCTCTTCATTTCTATTTTATAACCACTGATTCATGGAGGCAGTGGTATTATCACTGGGGTAATGGGGGAGACAATGGCCTATTGGTTTTATCATTGGACTGTTAATCCAGAGACCCAGATAACATTCCAGGGACCCGAATCCTGTCACAGCAGATGGCGGAATTTGAATTCAATAAATATCTGGAATTAAGAATCTAATGATGACCGTGAATCCACTGCTGATTATTGGATAAGCCCATCTGGTTCACTAATGTCCTTTAAGGAAGGAAACTGCTATCCTTACCTGGTCTGGCCTACATGTGACTCCAGACCCATAGCAATGTGGTTGCTCTTAACTGCCTTCTAGGGATGGGCAATAAATGCTGCCTAACCAGTGATGCCCTCATCCTGTGAATGAATAAAGAAAAGAAAATGATCCAGAGGCCCAGGCTAAAGCTTTGGGAATTTGTGTTCAAATCACCTCAAAATCTGGTAGAATTTAATTTCAATCAATAAATTTGGCATTCAAAACTAGTCATTAGTAATGATGACCAGAAATCACTGTGGATTGTTGTAAAAATCCATCTGGCTCACTTAAATCCTTCAGGGAAGGAAATCAGCCATCCCTACCTGGTCTGGCCTACATGTGACTCCAGTTCTGGTCTCCCTGCTTTTAGAAAGATGTTGTTTAACTTGAAAGACTTCAGAAAAGATTTACAAGGATGTTGCCAGGATTGGAGGGTTTGAGCTATAGGGAGAGGCTGGATAGGTTGGGGCTATTTACCCCAGTGCATCGGAGGCTGAGGGGTGACTTTGTGGAGGTTTGTAAAATCATGAGGGGCATGGATAGGGTAAATAGCCAAGGTCTTTTCCCCAGGGTAGGGGAGTCCAAAACTAGATGGCATAGGTTTAAGGTGAGAAGGGAAGATTTCAAAGGTACCTGGGGAAACTTTTTCACACAGAGGCTGGTGTATGTATGGAATGAGCTGCCAGAGGAAGTGGTGGAGGCTGGTACAATTACATCATTGAAAAGGCATCTGGGTGGATTTATGAGTAGGAAGGATTTAGAGAGATATGGGCCAAGTACTGGCAAATGAGACTGAATCAGATTGGGATATCCGGTTGGCGTGGTCAGGTTGGACCGAAGGGTCTGTTTCCATGCTGTATGAATCTATGACTCGATGACTTCAGACCCACAGCAATGTGGTTGACTCTTAGCTGCCCTCTGGTATGGCCAAGCAAGCTGTTCAATTCAAGAACAATTGGTGATGGGCAATAAGTGCTGGCCTTACTAGTGACGCACAGATCCCATCAAAGAGCATAACAATCTCTATAATATTGCCAATTATTGACAACCTTTACTGAATCCAATGGGAATTATTCTGGAACAATGTGGAGCAGAACATACTCATCATTATCCCAGTTCTAACCAACTCATCACTGCTGGCAGTTGTTGACCAAGAACAGGATTACAGCATGCTGAATATCAAGTGTAGAAATCAACAGAGGAATGAAGGGAGTGTGGGTGGACCCTCGGGATCTCCTGTCTAATAGATCTTCCCCTCCACCCCACTGCTCCCTGTTCAAGTTCCCTTTAGTTTATAATGGGTTTTATATTTCTCCCATCAATCGTCCTCCCAAGATGAATACATTTTCTATATTCAATGAAACTCAAATTGGCTCTTGTCCAAACCTGTTTATGTTGGGGAGGTAAAATGGTATTATTGGCCTAATGATATTATTGCTGGACTGTCAATCCAGAGACCCAGATAATGTTCTGGGGACTTGGGTTTGAATCCTGCCATGGCAGACGGTGGAATTTGAATTCAATAAAAGAAATCTGGAATTAAGAGTCTAATGATGATCACAAAACAAATGTTGGAAAAAAACATCTGGGTCACTCATGCCCTTTAGGGAAGGAAACTGCCATCCTTACCTGGTCTGGCCTACATGTGATTCCAGACCCACAGCAATGTGGTTGAATCTCAACTGCCCTCTGGGCATTTAGGGATGAGCAATAAATGCTGGCCTAGCCAGTGACGCCCTCATCCCATGAATGAATAAAGAATAATACAGATGTCTGTTTGAATTTTCACACTATCCTCAGAGTCTGAGTTGTCCAAACTGTCTGCAAATCACAGAATCGCAGGATTGTTACAGTGCAGAGGGAGGCCATTTGGCCCATTATGTCTGCAGCTTGTTAAATGAGCATTTTTACCTTGTATTAATCTCCTGCTTTTTGCCCATATCCCTGCATACTATTTCTATCCAAACAATCACCCAATGCCCCTCTGGAATGCTTCAATTGAACCTGCCTCCTCTACATTTCCATTCCAAACCCTAACTACTCACTGTTTGAAAAATATTTTTTTTCTTACTTCACCCTTGCTTCATTGCAGGTCACTTTAAATCTAAGCCCTCCTATTCTTGTTCCTTTTATAATCAGGAATGGTTTCTTCCTATCTACTCTATCCAACTCTCTCATGCTTTTGAAAACTTTCATCAGATCTCTCTCTTAGCCTTCTTCTCTCCAAGGAGAACTGTCCCAACTATTTCAATCTACCCTCATAACTGAACTCTCTTAATTCCTGGCATCCCTATTGTGAATCACTTATGCGCTCTCTCTCCAATGCAATCACATCTTTACTATTATGTGGTGCCCACAACTGTACACAATACTCTAGCTGAGTCTAACAAGTGTCTTGTACAAGCTTAACATCACCGTCCTGCTCTTGTAAACTAAGTCCCTAATAATAAAGCTGTTTCCTTCACCTCTCCTGCCACCTTCAGTGATCTGTGCATCACCTCACATGTCTCTACATTGATCCTCATCTGCCCCCTCTCTGCCCACTCCAACTTGTCAATGTCCTTTTGAAGTTCCACACTGCCCACCTCACAGTTTACAATTCTTACAAACTTAGTGCCATCCGCGAACCTTGAAATCATGCCCTGAGCACCAAGATCCAGATCATTAATAGATAGCAGGCAAAGAAAAGATGCCATTACAAACTCCTGGGACAGAAGTCCTTCCTACAAACCTTCCCCCAGCCCAAAAAATATTTATTGACTATTACCCTGTTTCCTATCATTTAGCCAATGTTGTATCCATGTTGCTACTGTCGTCCTTATACCACGACCTATAACTTACCTCACAAGCCTGTCATGTGGCACTGTATCAAACACCTTCTGAAAGTCCATGTACACCACATCAACAATGTTAGCCTTATTGATCATCTCTGTCACCTCTTCAAAACCTCTAGTGAGTTAGATAAACATGATTTGCCCTTTAGCAATCCATGCTAACTCTTCCTAATCAACCCACCGTATTCCATGAGATTACTAATTCTATCCTGAGTAATTGTTTCCAGAAGTTGCCCGACACCACAGTTAAACTAACTGGCCTGTAATTGCTGGCATTATCCCTAGAACCTTTTTTCAACAAGGTGAAATGTTTGTCATTTGTAAGACCACTGGCACATCCTACCCATTTGATCCCAGCCCAACATCCCCCTATCCTCAGCTGCAAGCCCAAGGAAGTCTGAAAGACTGGTGAGAGCCCAAGTAATTTCTACACTCACTTCCTTCAAAATCTTTGGGTAGATCTCATCCTGTCCTGGTGCTTTGTTAACTTTGAGCGCCAACAATCTGTCCGAACGTCTTCCATATTAAATTGTATCCCTTCCTTCTCTTTCACCATGGCCTGAGTAACATTGCTCATTTGGTCAAAAAAAAAATTGAAATTTTGTCCTTCTTCATTAAACATTTAAGAATGAAAAGTAGGGAAAGACTTCACCCTGCACCCCAGGGATTCCCACTACAAACTGACCCCTGGGGTCCATCAGAACACACCAGGCCCCTAATGCCATCTCCCATGGATCCCCAGTATAAACCATGCCCCTAACATCATCCTCTGGGGAACCCAGTAGAAACCATCTTCCAGTAGAATAGAATCCCTACAGTGTGGAAACAGGCCATTCGGCCCAACAAGTTCACCACTGACCGCCTCAAGAGCATCCCATCCAGACCCATCTCCCTACTCTATCTCTGTAACTCTGCATTTCCCATGGTTAGTGCACCTAACCTGGACATCCCTGAACACTATGGGTAATTTAGCATGGCCAATCCACCTAGCTTGCTCATTTTTGGACTGTGGGAGGAAACCGGAGCACCTGTTGGAAACCCACGCCAGTGTAGAGGAATAAGTGAAAATGTTTCCTCTGGCAGAAGAAGATATTGAAGGTAGCCATAAAACAACAAGAGTGGCAGATGAGGTTGGTTTAGCCCACTGAGATGTTGTACTTGGGACAACAAAGGCTGAAAGGGCAGTGGAAGTAGGTTCAAGAGGAACTTTCAAAGTGGATTTGAAGAAACAAAGTAAATGGAAACATTGGAAGGTATATGGGGAGAGACCAAAGGAGTGAGCCTAAATGGACAGCTCCTTCAAAGAACCTGTATAGGACTGAGGGGCAGAATGGTCTTGTCTTGTAATTTTGTCAACCTTCAGCGATGTTGTTGGCTCATGAATGGTTTTTTGGATGCAGAGAGGACTGGGAGTGGATGAAGCGGCTGTCGGAACAGGAGGTGCCCAGTGCTGGGGAAAAGCCCCCACTTTTCTTCGAGCTGCAGGCAGCTGTGAGAGCCTTGTTCAAACACATCGAGCTCCCCCTGCACCAGGTAAATGATAGCAACCTCAGTGACTGCAGAATCTCCTCCACACTGTCACTGCTGCCGCACAAACACACACAGCCCACAGATACAGGCAAAACCAGGGAAAATTCAATGTTACTACACATATACCCCACACCCCTCACTGTAACACACTGATATACACCACACTCCTCACTGTAACACACTGATATACCCCACACCCCTCACTGTAACACTCTGATATACCCCACACACCTCACTGTAACACACTGATATACCCCACAACCCTCACTGTAACACTCTGATATACCCCACACCCCTCACTGTAACACCCTGATATACCCCACA